TCGAATTTAAACAAAATCAAATTTTCGCGATTCGTGTCACAGTGGTGGACAAGGACGACGGAGACCTGGGCGACTCGGACCAGCGACCCGAGTCCCGCCTCTCGAGCCACGACGAGGGCTCCCTCCTCAGCGGCGAGGACGACCGAGGTCAGAGGTCAAGCGAGGCCAAGGGAGGCGGGGACGGGGTGACCACCACCACCGGGAAGACCCGCCGGCGCCGCACCGCCTTCACCTCCGAACAGCTCTTGGAACTGGAGAAGGAATTCCACTCCAAGAAATACCTCAGCCTCACAGAGAGATCTCAAATCGCCCATAACCTCAAGCTCTCCGAGGTTCAGGTAAGACTTAAGCTTAAAACTTAAGCTTAATGCTTGAGCTTAAACTTTGATTGATGTTAAGTACTTTTCGAGTGATTTTTTTTTTGTCGCTTGCGTTTCTCATGGCCTACGTGCGCATGGCTCGGAATATCAAAAATATTTTTTTTAGAGATCGGGGAAAATGATAACGCTCATTAATGCCGAAACGACCAATTAAGAGTTGTGGAATTAAATGAGTGATGCGAATGTGAAACGTTATGCCGTAAAAGAAAGCTAGGTAATAAATCTGGGGTTTCGTGCTTGTTCGCCAGGTGAAAATCTGGTTCCAGAACCGTCGTGCCAAGTGGAAGCGGGTGAAGGCGGGGATCACGTCGGGGGCCCGGGGCGGGGGCAGCGGGGCCGGGGGCAACAAGATCGTCGTCCCCATCCCCGTCCACGTGAACCGGTTCGCCGTCCGCAACCAGCTGGACAAGGGCATCAGCGTCCCGTCCCTCCCGCAGCATCATCACCATCATCTTCCGGCTCTTCACCATTTCCATCACGCCCTTCATTAGTGATAGCTTAGTGAGAGAGAGAGAGAGAGAAAAAAACAGTTTTTGCAAGAATTTCTCATCCGGATCGACTGCGAATTTCGCGTGAAATTCGAAATCGTATCTCTACCGATTCTGTATCCAGATTGATTTTCGTCACGAGTTTGATTATTTATTGCGACGATGTTGGGCGGACGTGTGCCACAAGTTACCTCGAATCAAGACCTTGCTCGATCAAGAAATTGCTCCATCTAGTCCCTCTGCGATGTTTTAGGTCAGTCTCCTAGCTGGAAGCCCCCCTCCCCCCCACCTTCCCCCTCCCTCCCCCCCACCTTCCCCCTCCCTCCCCCCCACCTTTCCCCTTCCCCCCTCCCCTTGCCTTTAGTCAGAAAACGTGAGAGATTCCTTGTGAGCATTAGGATTTTTCTTCGAGTCCTCTCAATGATTGTCTCAGGATGAGAGAAAAGCTTCTCGGTGATTATATCCAATAAATGATGTTTATGAGGACCCAGTCGCTCGAATTGCCTTTTCGTCGCAAATATTGCCTCTCGTCACACCAATTGTCCCTTTCAGTCGCTCCAATTGCCTTTTCACCGTACTGATTGCCCCTTTTTCGTCGCACCAATTGCCTTCTCACCTACTGATTGCCCTTTTTCGTCGCGCTGATTGCCTTTCCAGCGGTTGGACTCAATTACTGACAAGGATCCCGGAAGTGTCGGATCTCATTTCTGCACACACATAGGGGTTATAATGGTAATTGTGACCACATTGGAGCGAATGATATGGGCCGGCGACTCCCCGCAGGGTGAGTGCAAAAAAGCCCCCCG